GACAATTTTTTATATGAGGTTTTCGGAGGTTTGTTATAAAGAAAGTTGAAAACACTCTTTTATGACATCTCATAAATTAATGCAACTGAAAAGGTGCAGGATGTGTTATAAGAAGTTGAAAATACATTTAAATAACACTATGGCAATTAAATGTACGCATTGCTGCTTACAAAACTTCTTTATGACGGATCGAAGCAGGCGTGTTGCACAAGAATATAATTTTCATGCCTTTGGCAAGAACATGATAGATACTTATTATTAACCTTTTATCAAGCGGAGTTGGTCTAGTTAGGAAGTAATAAGTCTTTCACACCAAGGCCTGTGTTCGAATCTCATGCTCATTTTTTTTTTAATTTTTTGCCGCTGGTTTTTATGATGTTTCCAAAACATGTTATAAGAACAGTAAACTCTGCTACTTGTGCTTGTTAGGTTGTATAAATGTAATAAATGATGTATATTAAAGTATTATTGATTCTATACGTAAGTCATTAAAAAGTATTTTCAACTTCAGACAAACACGTCAAAAAGCTGTTCTGCAAAAAACAAAAATCTGAAAACATTCATACCTAAACCATAGAAACCATGTGAATGAGGATGTTCATAAACTACGTTGACCCCTCTTATGAACAGCCCTTTTTCCCGCCAATTCATGATCGATGTCCAATATCGAAAAAAAAACCTTTCTTCTGTAGTTATCTCAGTAAACAGTTTTTGAAAACTTCTTTAAGTTTACAATTTTGATTTTTGTTTAATTCGAAGATTCCGTTTATTTTTTGAAGTCTCAGTTTATAGATAATTCTCTTTCAATTCTCAGGTAATTCTAATGAGCTCAATCTGTGGCCGTTACATGAATTTTAATATTGGTGCATGATCATCAGATTGGTTTCAAAAACCACTTGTGACCGTCCTTGGACTGTCAAGTTATAAAACGGACATCAAGAATAATCTGTAACATTTAAATTTTTCATTGCATCCGTATTGTTTACTTAGGATATGTATAGATAATAATCCACACACAAATATGCATCGCTTAAATCGATGATAACCAATCGCATTACTTCAGAATGAACCATCAAAGCAAGTATTCTGAAAAAATGTATTTTCACAATACAAAGAAATAAATAAAATTCAGTATATCCACCTTTTTGTTAACTCGCGTAAACAAATGAGGCTCATTATTTTTTTCTATGGAATTCTCTTTATACACTTACGTAGAAACCTTTAGAATTTTTGAGGTAATATTGTAAATATTCCAAAGTTGTAAAAATGACACCTAAAACTATGCAAAATCATAAAAACATTTTGTTCTACGAAATTCATATTTATTTTAGTTGGTGTATTTCATCTTTTAGAAGAGCTGAAATGAAAAATGTCAGGCTTGACAAAATTGCAAAATTTATCCTAATATTTTTTAAAATCCATATATAGATCCCGCACCCCTGTGTGCATACCTTAGCCCAAGGCAGCTGAAATTTTCTTCCGTACGCTTTATATCACCGTACTTCCCTAGCACTAATGCTAGATTGCTATCTGGGACTTCTGGTGGGAGGTCGTAAACTCTCACATATGCGTACCTCGGCTGACTTCCCATCGGCATAATGGAAAACTAACTGTTCACGGTTGTTTAGCAAACAATAAAGCATCGAATCTTCTGATTTGAACTTGATTAACATAGATTTTTCCTCCGCTATGCGATATATGTAGCGATCATCTGAGTGGGGTCCGCGTCCAGCGAATGCACAAAATTCGCAATTTCTTCCATAGATGATTTAGCAGAGTCATGCTCGAAACTGAACCTAATCGGCATCTTTATTTCAATGGGCATCTCCAGTTTTTTTAATAGTCACTTTAACGCTCTTGGGTCATTCGTGACTTGTCTGGGGGTGAGATTTGAACTCGTGACTTTGGCGTGAGAGGTATGGATGCTAACCCCTACGCCGGGGTCGCCCCCTATCTCCAGTTGTTTGCTTCCAACTCCAAATGCGAACGAAGTTCAGACAATGAGCAAGCACCGCAACAATGAGTTGCTATCGGAAACCAAACTATCGAGTGACCCACACCGAAAAAACACACCCTGTCTGTGTTGACACCTAAGAGTGAACTGATTTTGACACATTTAACTTGTCATTTTCACATTCAGAGAGTCACAATCAACGATTTAATGATTCGTGAGCGTTCAATCAGGTGAGCACTCCCGAATCGTTTAATCGCTGATTGTGACTCTCTGAAAGCATAATTTATGTGTCAAACACACAGGTTTTATGTATTGCCGGCGCCGGTGTTGTAGTGGTAAGCGTGACTGCTTTCTGACCCCAATGTCCGTCGGTGATTGGCACTAGATTATGGAACAGAGACCGACGTTAAATAGAGGAATGAAAGTTTAATGTATTAAAAACATACTTTACAACCTCTTTTTGTTATTTACAATATAATGATTTCATAATTCCGCAAAACAATTTTTATTGCGAAGGGAGAAGCAGCAACCCTGGTTGACGAACCCACCTTATCTTTTTTTTTCCTTTGATTTGTTTTCCGTCGATCTTGTTTTCCGTTCTGAGCACCAATGCTTCCGACGCCAGGGAGGCAGCTCCCACACCTGGACCCTACCATCAACCCATGAACCGCGGACCAACGGCTTTTCTACTGAACGGATTTCATCGACACAAGCATGATTCAACCATAGAGGTAACTCTAAGACTAGAAGGTCCCGTAGTAACGTGCTCAACTTTTTGGCACAGCTCTGGTACTCTCTTCGGTCCCAAGCTAATCGATTCACCCCTCGAAACATAGGAAAAACCAATAACCCCTCATTTTATCTGTCAAACTTTCATAGCGAATCAAAACAAACATTGCGTAGTAGTAGAATTTCGACTAGAATAGGGTACGTTAATCGTTTGCTTGGGACCAATAGGCTACTAAAGTGGTGAACCAATTTAAAACCGTTAGTTTCGTATTGATTGTTGATTCAACTTCGTTGGATTTGCTAACGTAATTAAAAAATAAAACAGCAATGACCCGACATTTTTTATTAATAATTTCATTCAAGCGTAATTCCAACTCTATCTAATTAATCTTCTAGATGGACGTTTAATGTATACACGCAAACCAAAAATCTATTACAATGAATGTTAGTTCCGTTTCCTATCATCCTCTGTTCATAAACATCGCAACGAATGTTATAAATTGACCATGCAGGCGATGTAATGGTTTTTTTGTCTTTTTTATTTCGTGTTCTATCTACGCTTTCGACTAAAACTTGTAGAACGACGCACATTGTAGAACATTGTAGAACGACGCACACACTTGCCTCGAATCTCTCCAGCAGAAAAAGCATACGAAGTCGAGTATGCGAAAAATGAGCGCTTCATGTTTGCCTTTAGGCTATCCATATTCAGAAGCATGGAGAGAGCAGTGGAGAAAGCACATGTCTGATATTCGCAGCGTTCGTGGTTCGAGTCCAGTCGGCAATCTGTTTCCTATTTTTTTCGACATAACTAATTTACCTCACTAATACACTCTACATTTTTCGGTCTCCAATTTTCTTGCATTTTACCGCAGCTAGGTATATCGCATCCTCGGTTCATGCGGTCTCCTCTGATGATTAATCCCTCATAATTGTAAGCGAATCTTACATCCCCCGGTTGGGTGTACTTATGCTTTAATAAGACCACTGAAAAACACATGAGTTTCTTAGAACACTAGAAAAGATTTTCAAAAAGGAGCTGACAAAATCGGGTCATTACTGTAATAGGTATGAACTCAAAAGTGTCGATGTGCTTCTTTGGACTATTTGATACATGTAAAATAATCGAATCCCTCAATTTGAAATATAGAAGATAACGCTTCAGCTCTGCCTAACAAACATCCTAAATTTTTAATTGCTATCTTATCCATTTAATACATAATAGCCTTCTTTTTGCTTGAATAAGCTATTATACAGCTTTTAATGTATGGTGCGTAGAACATTTCCCTCCATAGAATTGGTCGTTATGCGTTAGTGATGAAGCCTTTTCCTCTAAAGGTTGAATTGAATCCTTGATTTCACAAGGTGTTCCAGATATAGCTCAGGCTATATAGTTGCCAGAATAATGGAAAGCAAGATTTTGTTTTGATTTAGGTGCATTTACATATCTGAACTTTCAAATTAGTACATAAATTCAAGTAAAACAATCAATATTACAAAAGTTTTTGACTCTAAGAAACCAATTGGTTTCTCAACAATCTAAGTAGGGTTAACTACCCCATTTCCGGCCTATTAAGCACAATCCGCACTTAGTTTTTCTTAATCTAGCGAAGTTTAGCACCAAACGGAATGTTATTATTACTGATGACTTCCAAATTGATTTACCTTTCCACATGTACCGTAAGATTTGATAAAGAGAAACCAATCGTTGAGATATTGTCAAAAGTCTAACACTGTTTCTTGACGCCAAACTCGGCCTACGGATTATAAACGCAGCCTAACGCATTGAAACGACCAATGAATTCACTTCGGCCTATCGGATGAAGATAAAAATCGATTCGGTTGGAGCGCTTCTTTTGTTTTTGGGAATAATGGGTGCAAACATTCATATCACGCGTTCTCATTGACTTCGTTCCGTAGCATATTAACTAAAGTATCGTACCAAACGCATAATTGACTTGTTAACTCTGTAATCAAGAATTTATTTGAAGTTTTCTGTTCGATAGGCCCAAAATGGGCGATTAGGCTGAAGTAGTTCCTACCCTAATTGAATTCAGTCTTATTTATTATATCTTAGAATGAAATTTCTTCCTTCCACTGTGATGTGCTGACAATCAGCAACTCAAAATGATAGAGCGAACATTTAAAAACACACATCGCTATTTTTTGGTGTAGGGTTTAAATAGGTACAATTATTTTACCATGCTTCTTACTAAATAACGCTTCGTTTGCATGGCTTCATTTTTTTTTTTTAATTCTACCTCAGTATTTTCATTACACAATTCAAGACCGACAGTGAATGAGCGCATAATTCAATTTTCCCCTTTCTTTAGCTATCAGAGCTGTTACCACCGTTGGGACGTATGGCTTCAAAGATGTCGACCGCTAGCAATGGTGTTGAGGGGGCAGTCAAGCCTAGCTCAACCGAGGATTGCACCCCATCGGATGAGATTGACACGAACATTTCGATTGAGTTAATTACAGTAGACGACGCTGAGGATGTCCTGAAATTGCTGAAAAAGTTCTTCTTCAAGGTGAGATAGACAGTAAGGATTTTATTCCGCTTTGTGACATTTAGGGAACGACAACCCAAAATGCACTCCGGCGCAAAACGCTCAATGCGATTTATCATTACATTCCCGTTTTTAATTCATAAATTTGACAAGCCATTTCGGCACAAAAAATCCCAGAATTAGAGTGCAATAGCTATGAAAAACCAAATCCAGCGTTTTGTCCGGTGTGTATTTGTCCCCTGTTCTACCCTACTTCTCCGTTTGCTCACCATCTGTTTGCTAGATAGGTACAACTAAAGCCCTACAGTAAAAGTATGGACGTCTGTCAAAAGTTGTTCCAATCGAACCGTCAAAATGCACCGCTTTGCTCGATTTGAACAGCTTTTTTTTCAGTTTTGTGGTGACAGTCGTCCATACTTTAACTAGAGGGCTTTAGTTACAACACCTATGCGATATTTGATGCTAGTTAGCTAGGGTAGATATACATATATATATATAATATATCAATTTCCTCGAATTATGGATTATGGGAATCCCATAGGTAATAATTGGAATACATCATAGTAGGAGCATATGCCCATAACTGGTACACCCACCCTATCTCGTTTAGAACCACAGACGGGTGTCTTTTGTACATAACGACCGATGCTATAAACGAGGAAAACGAGATAGTAACATTTTATATAAGAACATGCGAAGAAAATCGTAGGATTTTCGCAGGAGACATGGAAAGTGAGATGCTTTTTGAATAATTCATGAGCATGTATCAAATTATGCATGCTGAAGAGATTATGTCTGGAATAAATTTTAAGCTTTGATGGTAAATCTCGGTGGGAAGGTGGTCTCAAGTGGCTGTCACTGTGCAATGTACGAGCTGATAGCATGAGCTGATATTCAATTTCCAAATACAAAATAATGTAAATTTTTAACTTGAACAAAATCGACGTTCAATCGATAAAGTTGCAACCATCGACTTAATAATATAGAGAAATTAAATGCGTATCGTTGTGCAAATTATTCGATCTGTGCGAGATTAATTTTTTCCTTGATTTGTTTTCCATCGATCTTGTTTTCCGTGCTGAAAGGCCGCTCTAACACCTGGACCCTACCTATCGACCGATCAACTCATGAACCGGGGACCAACGGCTTTACTTCCCTTCCGAAGGAAGGCGTGATCAGAGATGTTATGCCTCAGAACATCCCGGCGACGCCGACTGGGATTGAACCCAGGCCTGCTGCGTTGTGCGAGATTAATATTAACCACATATTTTTATATCATGCAAACGTGATAAAGCTACACATCCATAGGAGCTAACCACAACGGAATAATTTTATATTTTAGCATAAGCTACCGTAAAGTAAAGTGAGGTAAGTAGGGTGGCAAAACTACGCACTGGCCCGCAAAAAATGGATAAGCATTCGTAGGATTGAAACCGCTACTGAATTTATAATTATTAGAAAAATATAGTGTATTTTGAATGATTCACCTATAGATCTCATTGGAAGTACTATCACCCTAGTATTATGAAGTGGCCCACAATTGTAGGTGACCTATGGTGATTCAGAATGTTCACACCAAAAATTGGTCAAAACCATGGAGCTTCTATATTTTTTTTCCTCGCTCACATAAATTTGATTTTAATCGTAAAATTAAGCTTAGGATCTCAGCTTTCCATGAAAAATAATTTAGAATTTCCATCTGTTTATATAAAATAGCGCCGAAAAAAAAACAAATGGCTGTATATTTGATTGATTAACATGTTTCAAGATGCATTTTGTTTATTTCTTATTCATTCTGGGCTAAAATTCATAATGATGAAAAAAACTGTACTAGAATGATATTCTTGATGAAATGAGATCAGGAGACCGCTTACGGTCCGCGGGCGGCATATTGGGCAGCGTTGACCTATTAAATTAGAATAGAAGGTAATTTCATGTGAATGAACTTTAATTTATTTTTATTCATTTTTTCTAATTCGGGTTGAACTTTGTATGTGTGGTGTGTAAATGTTTTAGTGTAATGGTCATATCGATGACGTACCTGTGCAGAGTTTACTTCTGTTTACTTCTCGCCAGGTACAGCAACGATCGAGGGGTCCGTCGAACCACTGCGATGTTTTACTGACAAGGTGGTCTTGTTGCAAATGCGTTCACTTTGAGAATCGATCGATGCCCACAATACATTCAGGAATGTGTATCTCCCGATGAACGTAACATGCTCGATGTACCTATTCTCTTGCTTTTGCCAGATCACATCTCTTCCACTTTCTTTCAGGTAAGTATAGGAAATCAGGTCCGCTGTACCAGTTGCTGTTGGATTGAAGTACGATCCAGCTCCCCACTTCGTAGCATTGTCAGCTGGATTGTCTTCTGATGCTACCCAGCGTTACTCGCTGCGATCGGTCGCTGCCAATATCTCAGACACTCGGTACGCTACATACGGACTGTACTTGCGAGGATCTGCACTAATTCAACTGAGGGCTGCTCTTGAGTGGCTCCAAAATACCCGCTGGCGGTCAATAACGTATTTTTCGAGACGCGTACCCAGCACGCAGGCCTGAAGCTCCAATCTCGAAGGTACGAAGCGCAGGCACAAGCGTCACGGCTGCATTGAAGAATGTATGTAATTGAATTCGCTAGAGCTGTGGCCCCTGCATTTCGAAAGTAGCATCTTGGAATCCGAACGCTGTTGATATGATCGATGATCTCAGTCCATTGGCACCATTGCTTGAACAACCTACCTTCTCATCCCACCCATTCCTAAACGTCAAGCGCTTTGAATAAGTACTTTACCGAAGACCAAATACGGCGTGAGAAATGAGAAATCCCATTGGTTCGAAGAGGGACATCACACACCGGAGAATCTGTTTCTTCGTTGGTTTATGGCATCTCCACGCGCTGAGCGACAGAACTCATCGGACTTTGTCATCCAACGCATTCCCAGGACTCGTTCAGATTGATCCATTTCGTCCAGACACATTTGCTTCACCGGATGCTGTTGACTCTCACGTAAATGCTGAAGGACCGTTGGGCTATTCAAACACCATTTCCGGATCTCGAACCCTCCTCGTTAGTGAATCTGTCGGACTTCAGATGCAACTTGTTTAGCCTCGTTGTCGGTAGTAAAGCTAACTAGGTAGTCGCCAACGTAATGGTTGAAAACTATTCCCTCGACAGCTCGTGGCAATCCTTCTCGAACAATCTTGCGTTGGCGTTCTTGACGTACTGTGCGATGGCTGGAGAACACGTCGCACCAAATGTAGCATCGTCGGAATACTTGAGGTTCTTCCGATGGGTACTCACGAAACAAGAAACTTTGTGCAGAGCGATCCGCACCTCTCTTATGGCACAAACGAAGTGACAGACGGAGCGGCTCGAAAACTTTGATGACTAACCTGCTATTTCAATTTTTCAGTGTACCACATGGCAACACCACTACTACTAGATTGTACCACATGGCAACACTACTACTGGATTGTACTAGCATTTTCACCAAATGTATTAGAATCTTTCACTCTACTCAAAACTGAAATGCATAAAAATATGACAAAATGATACACTCTTTGCACACTGTCAAAGAATCATTGTACACAAAATCAACTTTGTTCAAATCAAAACAAAAAAACTAACCCATCTGGTGGATGATGGCACAAGCTTCCAAGAAAATTCTATTACAATGAACCACATTATTTTAATGGATTTCTTCGCCAGTTAGTCGTCTGTCACTTCGTTTGTGCTTATGGACTTGATGAAACATCTCTTTCACATCTGCCCTTTCAGCCACAGCATATTGCCGGAACCGAAAAACTACGAAGCACAATGGGTGTAAATATTCATCAGCTCATCGATTGGTAGATTCTGCATAGGAAAATCCAAAGCTTGGATTGTGTGAACGTCGTTTATTCCATACCGTTAAGGATTTCCGCAGCAGGAGATGAGGATCGAGAGACGCTGTGGGTCAGGTTCTTCCCTGGTGATGTCACAGGTCCACTTCAAGCAGCGTGGCTTGTTGTACCCGGTAACGCTTAATTCCTTTGCCAAGCTGCATGCTTGGCATACACAGTTTTGGTCACGAACTGCTCATTTGCTAATAACTTTACACAGAGTTGACTAAACATAGTTCTTTTTGAAGCAGTAAATAGAATAGCGTTTAAGCTTGTTATTGATACATAAAACAAAGTAGATTTTAATTCTAGTAGGTAATAAACTGTATTGGTTTTTGCGTTGTAAAAATGAAGTGAGCAATGCTCGCTGCACATCTCGGACTTTAACTAATTTTTGCATATTTATAGTAAGCTATGATTCTAATCTATCAATTAATTTAAAGAAAAACAAATTTCAACAACTGAGTAAAAAGTTATTTACAAATGAGCAGTTGGTGTGTAAAACTGTGTATGCCAAGCATGTCAAGCTGTTTTCGATCATGGTTACGGATGTCCCTTCGTCTAAAAATAATGTGATCGGAAGTATACGGAAAAGTAACGAAAGTACGGATGCTTTGTTGAGGTGATACTGTACATGCAACTCGCTGGATCCTCCCTTTCCCTTCGAAACGGAAGAATGTAATAGTGGATTGTGCCGATATTGACATCCGTCGACCTCACAGTGTTTCGTACTGCGGCACGCTCTCCACCCGTGACAAGCAGGTTCAACACAGTTCCAAACTTTATACTTTGTTCCAGCAGTCGTCGACCGATAAGGCGAAGTACAGCACAAGCAATCCACCTTTCCCACTTCAGCGTGAATCAAATACCGATCTCGTTACTTCCGGCGATCCTGTTTGTTGTATCGATCGAAAGTAGCGGACACGTACGACACGCTGTAGGCATCGCTTACGATCTCTTCCATGAAATCGCTGAAGGTCTTCATACTAACCTCCGTTTAGCGGCACTGGTGGTGTAGTGTTAAGCGTGATTACCTCTCACCCCCGCAGGCCTGGGTTCAATCCCATCTCTGATCACGCCTACCTTCGGAAGGGAAGTAAAGCCGTTGATCCCCGGTTCATGAGTTGATGGGTCGAT